CACAGTCAAGTGGGGGCAAGAAGAAGAACCTGTGGCAGGGCAGGTGCACATGGCAGCTTGCTTTCTGAAATTTCTTGTTCTGTGCTCCTTTCCCATTTTATCCTGGCCATCTCTATCTTTCATATTTGTTTTTCCTGTCTTGCCTAATTTTGATTCTTACCAGTCCTGCCTCCTATACTGCAAGGGAGTCCTGGTTGGTCAGTTTTTAGTTCACAGAGCTAGACTGCTTTAGCCCCTCAACATCTTATTGTTGGCTTCTTACACTCCCCTTTTACTCACTGTTCATTTGGACCATTCTCTCACAATTTCAGCTGTTTTCTCATGTTGGTCTCCTGTGGGTTCCAGGGAGTAACCTGTTGGCTATGTTTGACTTCTTTTGTTTCAGGTACATTAATCCCTTTGACTCATCCTACACCAATAGTGGTAATGTTAATGCCATACAGGTCTTGTAGCTTTTGGAAGTTTGTGTCCACCATTTTGAATTTTGGGGTCTGTAGAGGTATGTTGTCACTCGATAATGTTTTCCATGGGTTGATGGTTTCTGTTTAATCTCTCTTTTTAAAATTTATTTGATAGAGATCACAAGTAGGCAGAGAGGTAGGCAGAGAGAGGGAAGCAGGCTCCCTGCTGAGCAGACAGCCTGATGTGGGACTCAATCCCAGGACCCTGAGATCATGACCTGAGCCGAAGGCAGAGGCTAAACCCACTGAGCCACCCAGGCACCCTTTAATCTCTGTTTTTATATGGGGCATTGGGAAGATTAAAAAATCTGTGCTGCCATACAGCAGTCTTTCCAGAACTTCTCTCTGGAGCACTTTACATAAATTGGAGTTTCTTTTTCTTAAAGATTTGGTAGAACACTCTTTGAAACTACCTGGTCCAGTGTGTTTTTATGATTAACTCTTTGAAAACTTTCTCTGTGTCCTCTATGATAATTTTTATGTCAGATTACAAGCTCTTCTGAAGTCTGTTTGATTAGTTTGTATATTCTTAGAAAATTATCCACTTCCTCCATGACCTCAAATTTATTAAAATCGTCTTTGTTTTTTAATAGCTTCTATATCAGTGGCTAGTGCTTCATTTCCATTTCTTACTTTATGTCTACTGTGTTTGTCTTCACTTCTTGAATTGGTTAATTATAGGTCGTTCTACTTTCCGTCCAAAGAACCCGCTCTTGAATCCATCAGTTCTTCTAATTTCTTAAATTAGATGCTTCATTCACTTCTTTTTTATTCTTCGTTGTTCATTGATAATAATAAAAACCTTAGAAATTTCTCCTTAGAGCTGCCTTAGCTATTTTCATAAATTCTGATATGTCATATTTGTTTTCTAAGTAATTTGGAATTTTAAGTTTGATTTATTCTGTGTCCCAAGAATTGAGAGAGATTTAAAATTTTCCCGATGGTAGACATTATCATTTTCTAGTTTTGTTATTAACTTTTCTTTTTTTTTTTTGTGATTCAGATTTTTTTAGCTACCTAACATGGTTACATTTATTTACATTGTTATGTTTATTACAACCTAATTAACCATTCTGTAGACATTTAAAAAGTATATATATTTTCTGTTTTATGTTAAGACTCCATTATATGTTGATTAGGTAATCTTAGTTAGGTCTTTTTTTCCTTTTAATTTTTATAGAAGGTGTCCAATTTACTCTGTGTAAAACTGAGAAAGGTCCCTGCTAATGTGTTTCAGTTTTTTCTAATATTTTCTGTGGTTTTATTTGAATGATGGAGTGCTTGAATAGAATTCCTTACTGCTAGGTCTTCATTACGGATTATAATCTCTGTCATCATGAAGCATACTTCTTTGGTCTTGTTTATAACTTTTTCTCTGAATTCAGTTCTGTCTGATACTGCAATCATGAATCTAGATTTCTTATTATTTATATATCCTTAGTGTACCTTTGCCTACCCTTTAATTTTCAGTCTGAATCACTTTATACTAGATACATCTCTTTTTTTTTAATTTTTTATTTCTTTTCAGTGTAACAGTATTCATTGTTTTTGCACCACACCCAGTGCTCCATTCAGTCTGTGCCCTAATACCCACCACCTTGTTCCCCCAACCTCCCACCCCCCCGCCCCTTCAAAACCCCCAGATTGTTTTTCAGAGTCCATAGTCTCTCATGGTTCACCTCCCCTTCCAATTTCCCTCAACTCCCTTCTACTCTCCATCTCCCCTTGTCCTCCATGCTATTTGTTATGCTCCACAAATAAGTGAAACCGTATGATAATTGACTCTCTCTGCTTGACTTATTTCACTCAGCATAATCTCTTCCAGTCCCGTCCATGTTGCTACAAAAGTTGGGTATTCATCCTTTCTGATGGAGGCATAATACTCCATAGTGTATATGGACCACATTTTCCTTATCCATTCATCCGTTGAAGGACATCTTGGTTCTTTCCACAGTTTGGCAGCCGTGGCCATTGCTGCTATAAACATTGGGGTACAGATGGCCCTTCTTTTCACTACATCTGTATCTTTGGGGTAAATACCCAGTAGTGCGATTGCAGGGTCATAGGGAAGCTCTGTTTTTAATTTCTTGAGGAATCTCCACACTGTTTTCCAAAGTGGCTGCACCAACTTGCATTCCCACCAACAGTGTAAGAGGGTTCCCCTTTCTCCACATCCTCTCCAACACACGTTGTTTCCTGTTTTGCTAATTTTGGCCATTCTAACTGGTGTAAGGTGGTATCTCAATGTGGTTTTAATTTGAATCTCCCTGATGGCTAGTGATGATGAACATTTTTTCATGTGTCTGATAGCCATTTGTATGTCTTCTTTGGAGAAGTGTCTGTTCATATCTTCTGCCCATTTTTTTGTATGATTGTCTGTTTTGTGTGTGTTGAGTTTGAGGAGTTCTTTATAGATCCTGGATAGATACATCTCTTTTAAAAATATTCAAGTTGGGGCTCCTGGGTGGCTCAGTGGATTAAAGCCTCTGCCTTCAGCTCAGGTCATGATCCCAGGGTCCTGGGATGGAGCCCCACATGGGGCTCTCTGCTCAGCAGGGAGCCTGCTTCCTCCTCTCTCTCTCTGCCTGCCTCTCTGCCTGCTTGTGATCTCTGTCTGTCAAATAAATAAAATCTTAAAAAAAAAAAATTAGAATGACTGAAAGGTCCAGCTCTAACATACATAATCTTGGGTGGTTTCTTTAGTGGAAAACTATGAAATCATTCCAAATGTTAGAAAAGAACATTCAATGCCTGGAGAAATGTTTATAAGTCATTAAGTGAAATGTTTCAGAACACTAGACAGAATAAGTCCCTATTTGTAAAAAAAAAAAAAAAAAAAAAAATTAAATTAAAAAAACATTCAAGTTAAAATTTAATTTTGATAAGTATAGCATAAAATTCACTTCTGGATTTTTATACATAGCATAAAGTTGAATTTTATTTGTTAGACTGGGAGTTTTTCTTCAATAGGTGAGTTTAGGTCATTTTTTATTTATTGGTACATGTTTGATTTTAGTTTTGTCATCAAAAGTTGTTAGGCTTTGTTGATATGGCTTTTTCCTTTTTATGTCATTCACTATATGATCCATTATTATAGTTGCAGTTTTTATGTGTTCTCTGATAATTTTTAAGCTCTTCATTTTTGACCTGTGAGTTGAATTTTTAACTAAAACATAACATATATATTTAATATTTTTCCCTTTTCATTTAAGACTTCAATCCTATAAGAAAAGTAGAAATGGTATATGAACGTCTGCTTATCATTCAGCTAGATTCACCAGTAGTTAATATTTTGCTACATTTGTTTTATTTTTGTCTGTATCTACATGTTTTTCTTCCTAAGTATTTGAAGGTAACTTCTTAACAAATTCGTCATCCCTAACTAGTTCAGCATGTGTTTCTTAAGAACAAGGACATTTTCTTACTTGGGAACAATACCAGTATCACACCCAAGTACTTCAACACTATTATAATATCTGTATGGAGTCCATATTTAAACTTCCCCAGTTGTCTCAGTAATGTCCTTTATAGCCTTTTTGTTTGTTAAGGATCATGCATTGCATTTATTTATATCTTTTTGCCCTCTTTAATCTAGATCAGTCTACAAGCCCTTTTTTTTTACCCCCCATGAAAAATTCAGGTAGTTGGTCTTGTAAAATGTCCCAACATCTGGGGTTGTCTGTTTCCTCCTAACTAAATGCAGTTAAATTTTCTTGGCAAGAATCATCATAGGTGATTATCATTTTCATTCCATCACTCAGGAGGTACATACTATCAAGTTTGTCCCATTATTAGTCACGCTGCATTTAATCACATGGCTCAGAGAGCATCAGTACTTTGTTTCTTACAGTATCTTTTGACTTCTTCCTATGAGCAATGATGAGACATTTTTCTGTTCCATCTCATTTTAATCATTTATGTTCTCATTACCTTTAAAACATGCTTATACCTTTGTTATTTAACTTACTGATCTGAAGTATCTTTTGACCTCAGCTGTAGAAGATAAGGAAGATGAAAAATTCACATTACACTATTTCCCACCTTTTCCCCCCTCTTCTCTTCCGCCTTTGTTTATTCATTCACTTTTCTTTAAAATGAAGAAAAGGAAACCTAGAAAACATACATCAAGTCAGTGTTTTCAGTTGTGTGGATAAAGCCCACCCATGGGACGCACTGAGGCTGGAGCAGTCGGAAGAGACTGGCTTACAGAACAGGGCGGACGTGGTCAGTTGGGGAACGACGCTTGTTGACAGCTCTGGGGTTTGGGTTTGGACTGTTGCTGCTTGTCATCTACCACGCTTTAAAATGTTGATTAACCATTCTTCATTCCTGGCTTGACCTTTCTAATCTAAAAATTGCAAGCTCTAATCTGGTGAGTAGAATTAATTTCTGGGTTGCAGTAGCGAGCCGCTGAGTACTTGGCTGGGACCAGTATCAAGCTGGGGGCCACGCCTGACCCTCAGATCTGCCTCCTTCTCACCTTCCTTTTATGCCCTCTCCATTTCTGTGCCTAAGTGTGCTGCCTTTCTTTTTCTTCAGGTCTCCCAGTCGCTGGGCAAACCTCCGAATTTGTTAACCAAGTGTTAGAGAAGACTGCAGAAGGCAATCCCACTGGAGGCCTTGTAGGACTAAGGATACCAACATCAAAAGTGTAATCAGCCTCATTGGACCACTGGTCAGAAATGTCTGTGTTTGTCACGTTATTCCTTGTAAATTTTCATTCTGTTTTGCATGTCAGTTTAGCATTATGTAAACATTTATGATTAGGTTACATTGTTTTAAGAACTAAGTAGCATAAGTGAAGCATGATCCAAAATACTTGATTATTGCATTTTCAGAGCATAAACCATGGTTAAAACCGCTACTGTCATCAGAATCGAAACTCAAACATTTAAGTAAATGTTTAGATACAGAGTGCAAAAATCTGTTAAAGTAAAACATTTGGGAGGAGTGAAGACATTAGTAAAAGCCAAATATTGTGGCAGGTTTATGCTCTGAACCACACAAAAAAATTGAGGAAGCATTTTTTTAAACAGTCAGTTTAGATTGTTTTTAGAATTATTCCTTTTGTTCTAATTTTCCACAAACATTAATCTCACTTGTACATGGCACAACCCAGCACTCACACCCATGTGCCATATTAGAAGTTCATTTTCTGAGCTCAATATGGTATATATAAATATATATAAATATATATATAATGTCTGTGCAAGTAAGAAAAAAAGCATATTCTTTGTGCCTTGTATTTTGGGGAAACTATAAAACTGGTAATATTTTGTATGATGAAAACCCTAATGAGGAAACACAAGATATATAGATGGAAAAATTATGGGGTTTAAATGTTTTTTTTGTTCCAACTCTTTTTCAAATTTTTTGAATGTATATAGGACTATGTTGAAATGTAGATATATGCCACAGAGTCTGTGTATTGTATAAAAAACAAAACAAAAAACAAACAAAAAAAAGATGGCTCTAGAAAACTCATATTTCGGTACTTGACCGGAAGAAGACAAATACTTGCACATTATTGCGATTGTTTTATTTTTTGTACCAAAGACAAATGCAACTGATATGGCAAACTGCCAGTCTAAGTAAAGTTTTGCACAGCTTACATGATACTGTATGAATGTATGAAAAAAAGGAGAAAAAAAAAAGAAAAATGAAAAGGTCAGGGTTAGGGATCTTACTGAACTGTGAATTTTATTTCTGTTTGGGTCCAATTATCTACAGAAGGAGCATCCACACACACAAATATTATTTTGCTGTTCCTCTAGTTCGCTTCCATAGTAGATAAGTTGGTGGCCATTTAGATGTCTGTAAGTCTTTTTATTTCTGCACTTAATTGTAGGAAATTTTAATATATTTCATTTTAGTAAGCTATTGGTAAAATAGTTTTTGACCTTGAAAATTAAAACGTTTATTTAGCTTATTGTAGTATACTTCCACCAAACAACCAAAATACAGATTATTTTTATTGTATTATGTATATATATATATGTAAAGAAAGAAAAAAAGCTAAAAATCTCTAATTCTTTAGTTGCCACTTTTCCAATTGATGTATTATTGTGCATGTAATATTTTCAAAGATCAACACAAGCTTAAAACAAAAACAATTTATAGATTTTTATATTTTTGTACAGGTATTTTCAAACTAGCTTCTTCAAACTTACATGTGACTTATTCTTCTTCTATAGTTTCTAGAACTGAGAAATATTAACACATTTAGTTTTTAGGTGCTCTTTTTTGCTCACGTAAAACAGCTTCATTAGTCAGTGTTTTAACTGTGTTAAAGCTTTACCTCTGATGAGAAATTTTTTGTGTCAAGGCAGCATTATAAACCTTCCCCACAGACCTTCCCATTCTGTCTCTCTTACTGTTTGATCCTCAGATCTTGTGTTTTGAACTCTGAAAACTGGTGGCTTAAAAACTATACTTTAAAAAAGATCCTATCTAGCCAGAAAAAAATACCAAAAATTTCAGACCTAGCTGCTGGGAAATTACCTGTTTCTCCAACTGTTTCTCCATTACCCCCTGGAGAATTTATTCTTTAATTATATTTTGTCTTTATAGTGTGTTTTCTTTTCTTCTACTTTATCCCTTCTCCCCCACTCCCCTACTTGTAAGCCTAGCATATGAAGCTATAGCTTATAAAGTTTGATTCTAAAACACAGTAACAACTGAACAATGTTGCTTATATGCTTCTTTGACATCATGAAAAGGAAACTTCTAGAAGGATTGTCTTAACACCTTAGCTGAACTGTGATGCACAAGATTTTCCTGTGTGCTTGGTGGAAATGTACCTGGTTAGTGCATTCATGCTGAACAGATGATAAGCTCAGAGCTAATGGTTTAAAAGAATGTAAGCTCATTGTTTAAAGTTTTTCCTTTTTAGATGGGAGAAGGCAAAGCACAGGCTTATAAATTGGAAGTATATGAAGTTTTGACAGAGTGTGTTTAGTAAATTGAAACATGTCCCAAAATGTGGCAGTTTTGCAATCAGGTGAAAATCACTTCATGATAGAGATTCAGCTGATGAGGTTTATAAAATTGCCCCTTTCTAGCTGCTCTGTTAGGAATTCTGGTTTTTGATACTTTTTTCCTGTCTGCAAACCAGAATTTGATTTTTTGGTCTTGCATTTCAAAAAAAAAAAAAAAAAAAAAGACTTTGAATCTGTTTAGTAGATTCCATATCCTTGCATTTCAGTGTTTTATATGTACTACTTAAGTTAAATAGTTAAAAGCTTTTAAATAGTTGAGCTTTTTAATGTTGACACTTTATTTTGTACCTATTTATATATGTATGTATATCTTAGAAAAGCACTTTGTTAAAAAAAAAATTGCATTTTATATGATTCCTGCCATTTGCTGCTAAATCTGGGCTGGTCAGAATGCTGCAGCGATACTTGATCTAAATAAAAACCTGGCAGTAAAATGTAGAGTGAAAGTTAAATCCTCTTGCTGTTTTAACTTTATCATCAAGATGACATAGGCAAGCTGTGCAGCTTTACATTTTAACCAGGGGACTCTGTGGCATTTAAAACCGTCTAGAAATGGTTGTACTTTAATGCCAGTAATAATCTGCTTCCTCTATTGTCATTAAAATATATACGTTTAGTGTATCACACAAACAAATCTTATAAGGGTAACGTAAAAACCCCAACAATTGTACATGTTCTGTTTTTGAAAATTGTGGCATGTATTTTTGGGTGAAGATCATTAGAGAAGAGCTCTCTAAAGGTTTTCTGTGTTCATACATGGTATACAGATAGCTCATAATGAAGTCCAGAATCTTACTTTAAGTGAAGGCATTGTGAATTCACCTCAAATAAACCCGTTGTTCCAAAAGCAATTATAAACTTTGACTCTAGTACTACTATGATTGAAAAAAAAACAAAAAACAAAAAACGTTCTTCCTCATTACAGATACACTGGATTCTTTATAGAGTTTGTCTCCATATGAAAGCATGCTGTCCAGTTGTTCTTGTTAAGATCTTGTCTGAGTTTTGAATTGGGCGCCACACTTTTTCAGTCAATATGATTGCTTGTTCTACTGTACCATGTATGATTCTTGTCCTTTCCTATATCCTTCATGACAGATTATGATGTGGCTTTATATTGTGCCTTACTTGTACATTTAAACTTAACGTCTTCATTCCCTTCCAATTCCTATACCGTTCACTTTGACCTTTTTGGTAAGAGAATCAGAGCAATTATAAAAACATCATGAAGGATTTCAGATGGGTATGGTTTCCAATTCCCTCTCTTTATAGTTATTTTATATTTGTATGAAAGACCAGTTTTGAATGGTCTTTAAACCAGAGAGGGAAAGACTAGCAGTCATTTCACTACATCCCTTGTTTCTGACTTTCATGAATTTGTCCGACATCTTCTTTCTGATGCTTGACTTGATTTGCTTCTTAGCAATAGTCTGCATTTAAAGAAAGGTGTGTTCAGTCCATCAGCTTGAAATTGACTATTTCATCTTTCCAGAATTTTTTAGGAGAAGAATACCCGTTTTGTTTGTTTTATAAAACAGATGACTAGTCTCTTTAAAAGAAACAGAAGTACAGTACTTTTGAAATACAATGCTGTTAGTTTGGATTTCTTTTTTTATATATAATATTCATACAATTATCTGATGTTTGCCTTCATTAATAAAGCTGTTAGTTTATTCACCAAAATGTCAAGAATGGATGTGCTTTTCTTTATTCCATACATTTAAAAATATTTTAGCTGCTAAGATTTAGTTAACTTTCTAAGAAACAAATTCAAGTTGCCTTCAGCAGGAATTAACAAAAGCTTATGTTCCCTTTCTTTATATAGTCTTCCTACAATTCTGTTCAAGTATTTTCTAATTAATTATGTAAGAGAATGTTAGCATCTCTCCAAATCTTGAAACTTGAATTTTGAGAATGCATTGAATTATGCTTTCAGTGTTAAAGTAAAAGGTTTCAATTATCCTTCTAGTGAAGTCTATTGTGGAATACCATTTCCCATGGAACTGAGGCCATTTCCACAACTTTGCACAGAACTGCAGTCTTGTTCTTCCCTTAGATCATGACAAGTCTCACACAGTGCCGTAATACTTGTGGATTCTTTTGTAATCTTTGTAATCTTAATAAGGGCATTATGAGAAGATGACTCCATGTTTTTTTAATATTTCAAACACATTGGGATGTAACAATGAATGTCAACTGTAGGAATGGTTGTTTCGTTTTAAGGAATAAGTATGTTGGGGAAAGATGATGAAAATGTACTACTGACAGTTTTACACTTCCATAGGCAAGTGGGATTATGTGTTGAAGCATAATCCTCGTGCTTAGTAAACTGACCGAAAATTGTAGAAATTACACCTAGGAACTGAATTATGCCAAATTGCCATTTTTCTTTAGAAAAGAGAGGTTAGGGTGTAGTAGTGAGGGAGTAGAACCTTAAAACTACTTCCAAGTAATATTCTGGAATTGAAGACTTGGTGACTAGTGAAGAACATCAGAGTTGGGTATTTCAGTGTGCCAAGTGTGGGTGAACTAGATTTGCCTCTTTCATAACAATGTAAACACAATGGTGTAGTTAATTAAATTCTGGGCGGATGGGAGCGGGACTGATTACTGTGTCTTGCCCTTCGCCCTGTGTTTTTTTCGGAACCAAATAACAGAAATGTGTATGTGTGTACTGTATCTGCCTTTCCACCACATTTTTATGACACTGTATTCTACTGCCTGCTTTTTTTTTTTTTTTTTTACCTTCTTTCCCTAGGATTTGTCCTATATCTTAGCATTTGTGATTAACAATGATACTAGGGCTGACCGCACATAAGAAGTCACAAGAGAAGAGCGGAAGGGCAAGAATTCAGAGCATTTGTTCATATAATGTGGCAACCTCTTTTGCATAGTGGCGTAGGATCCTGTTTGTAATGCTATCATAAATATTCTGTAGTTTTGTTTCCCCATTCCCCCAACTGGAGCTATGAAACTTTTTATTGGATTCAGTCTTGTCTTTTGTCTAGAAAGAATTTTATCTTGTTGACGCATGAGCTGTTTAAAAATTATTCTATTAAATGTTGGTTAATAGTTGTGCAGTTTTTCTTTTCAGAAGAAAAGGCAATTCAAATGTTGCCTTTGTTTTCTGTCACCTTCCAACCCCTCAGCACTTCTAGTCAGATACAGATTCATCAGTGTATGCAACATCCTTTGTAATTTAAAATAAAAAAAGATGAAAAGGTTTTGAATTGTTTGCCTCATGTTTTCTCCCTTTCTCTGTTGCTTTTCTGTCGCTTACCAAGGTAACCATCTGCTTTTCTGCAAGATAATCCACTGCAAAGAAATTCCAGACTAAAGACAGCCATGAGCTGTGGCTTGTGGTGCCCCTCTCCCTGGTGTAGGGCATAAGAACTAACATTCTGGATACTTTGGGCTGATTTTTCAGTACTCTAGTGAAATGTAGCTATTATGGAGAATTACTTATTGATGAAAACATTTGCATTCTTCATAGTTTGGAGCACAGTTTAGTTTACAGGTATTTTTTCCTCTTTGATTGGGTAAGCAAGGGAGATAAACTGTTTTGAGTCTCTCCTCATTTGTTATGTGTTTAATAATTCATAGTAAGTCTCTGAGATAGGCTGGGCATATACACAATCTTTTTTTTCTTCAAGATTTTATTTATTCGAGAGAGAGAGCACAAGCAGGGGAAGGGGCAGAGGGAGAAGCAGTCTCCCCCACTGAGCAGGGAGCCCGGGATCCTGGGATCATGACCTGAGCTGAAGGCAGACGGTTAACCAACTGAGCCACGCAGGTGTCTCCATATACATAAAGTCTTATGTCAGGGGACCTGAGTGAACACCACTGAACAGTGTGTTCCTTCAAATCCTAAACATTTGTTTAGCATATACTCTGCCAAGACGTGTGCTAGGCACTGGACTATAAGGAGATTAGAGAGAGATTCAGGAGCTCCGAGTTTGCTGAGGGGAGACAGCATGTGAATAAGACAAGAGCTGTTACACATGCAGAGGATTCTGGGTATATTATTGCCGAGATACTTGCGAGGACACAGGAACCACATCCGGTAGGGTATACAAGAGAAGAATTGACAGGCTTGTGTGCATGACATCCCAGGATTCTTGAAGTTCTTTTTGCTTCATTCAGGTGACATTGGGGCTGTCAGAAAGCAAATTGGAGATAACCTCTCATGGACTTGACCTCCGTCAAGACCACTCCTCACAGGAGTCTCCATCATGGTCTGGGAACTTTTAAGGAGCTGAGTGAGCCGGGTCAGTATAGTCCTTAGGAAACAACATTTTGTGGGTAGCACCCAGTTCAATGGGTCATTCACTTGCCCCTCCTTTCAGAACCAGAAGAGCCCTTTAGCCAGAAAGACATAAAGTTGGGAAATGTTTTAATATCCCAGCTGAAAGGTTTATAATGAGGAAGGAGTGTTAGGAAGTCTAGAAGGCTAGAGTGGCTGGCATTCATGACACCCCCTAGGTGCTTTTCTGTCAGGTAACTCAGCTCTCAACGGTGCATTGAGGTGGATGGCCATGTCCATTTTACAAAAGAGAATAGACTCAGATAAGGGGACTCACCTCAGACCCAGCTTATATGATAGTCCCAATTCAAACTCCAGTCTGCTCCTGCACTCAGAGACAATTCATACTCCTAAAGGACCAGGCCAGGTCACAAGTAATATTTGCATGGATATCTGTGTATGAAGAAGGTAATAGGCTTAGAATCTGAAACAGAACTCAAGCCAAAAACTAGCAGATGTAGTAACCAAAAGCTCATCTCAGGATCTGAGGGTAAAGGTGATAAAAGCAAAATAACATTGGCAATAAGTCAGAGTGTGGGTCACCACATTGTACATCTATTCCTCAAAGATGGCCTCTAGCTTGAGGGCTTAGAATTGGGTCTGTTTGTTAGAAGGGAGCATGTTGGAGGGTGGAGAAAAAAGGAGCTATGTTTTTTTCTTTAACTACTGCAGAAAAACTGCGTGGAAACTGTCAGCTACATAGGAATTTCCAGCAAGAAGCCAGATGTGAAAGGGGCCCAAGGTCATGTGTCTAAATAGGGAGCTTCCATCTGAGGATCCAAAACTTTTGAGTGACCTGAAAAATGTCCGTTTCTTGAAAAGATTTTAGTCTTAAAACATTACCAGAAATGAACTTAAAATGTACAAGGTCTAGATAAAGAAAACTTTAACATGAAGGACACAGAAGAAGACATGAACAAATGGAAAAAAAGACCCAAGTTCTTGAACCAGAGCAGCCAACAACATGAAGCTGTCAGTCTTCAAAATTATATTAAAAATGTAATGCTATCTCAAAAAATATAAATGGGGTTAAAAAAAAAACCCACAAAGTTCATAGGGGAAAAAATAATTGGGAGATGCTGGGAGGAGAAAAAGATTGGGCATTTAAACCAAACACATGAAAACCCGTAAAACTATAAACTGTCATTTTGGTCCATAAATAGGCCAACAGAACAGAATGGAAGGTTTAGAAATAGATTAAAACGTAAGAATTTATTATGGTAGATGTAGCATCCAGAACCAGTGAGAAAAAGATGGATTCCTCAGAAAACAGGGTTGGAACAACTAGGAAACTCTGCAAAAGAAAAGTTGGCTCTGTATCTCACACAGTAAGCCAGTATGTATCTCAAAATGTATAAATGAACAAATAACAGAAGGAAATGTGGGCAATTCCTTTAAAACCCATGGGGTGGGGATGGGGAGGCCTTTCTAACTTGGATCCCAAATCCAGGAGTCATAAATGAAGATCGACAAATTCTATGTGAAATAAAAATTTAAAAAAAGCTTCTTTAAGGCCAAAACCATCATAAGGCAAGTCGAAATTCTATAGTCTATGCAAAAAGCTAAGGGCTAATCCTCCTACTATATAAAGAGCTTCTGGAAACTGGTATGAAAAAGAACAACCACACTGTAGAGAAGTGAGCAAAGTAAATACAAAGAGCACTCAATCTCATTCATGATAAAAGAAATGCAAGTTTTAAAAATCTTAGTATTTGTTAACACAGCACGTTGGCGGGAAAGCAGGCATTTGTACCACACTGCTGTGGGACTATAAATGGATATAAACTGTCTGAAGAGCAATTTGGTAGTATGTATCCAAATTTTAAAATGCACATATCTTTCGACTAGCACTTTCTGCACTGGGCAAGTCATTCTCTCTGTGCTGTTTCTTCACGTGTAAAATGTGGATAATTCTACCTCATAGGTTTGCCATGAGAGTTCAGTTCGATGACACACATTAAGAACCTAGCACAAAGTGCCTGGCACATAGGCAGCGTTCCAAAAATGTCAGTAATGTCATAGCAGCTAATGCCTGTTGAGTTCTTAAACACATGCCACACTGCTGCACTATGCTTGGCGCTCTTCATGTACTACCTCATTTAATCCTCCAGACAACCCTGTGATTACCACCAGTTAGCGTCCGGAGGATTCTGAGGCACAGAGATGTGAAGTGGGTCGTCCAGCAGGAGTCAAGCAGGGTTGACTCCCAAGCCTGCAATACCGTGCCTGATAGGTGTGGTGGGATGATGAACACCTTTTTTTTTTTTTTAATTTTTTTTTTTTAATTTATTTGACAGAGAATACAAGTAGACAGAGAGGCAGGCAGAGAGAGGAAGGAAAGCAGGCTCCCCGCTAAGCAGAGAGCCCGATGCGGGGCTCGATCCCAGGACCCTGGGATCATGACCTAAGCCAAAAGCAGAGGCTTTAACCCACTGAGCCACCCAGGCGCCCCGGGATGATGAACACCTTAAGGGGCAGTGTGGAACAATGGAGAAACAGATGGGCAAGCTACATAACCCCGTGTGTACAACACTACCCAAGGGGCTATATTTGGTTTTTGAGAGAAGACATGGCTTTCAGTGAAGGCTCTGCCACGTTCAAGTTAGGTAACCATGGGGCAGGGGTGTTCAGTTTTGATTTCGCTGTCATCTACTCTTCGTCCATCTACTGAGCTGTAAAACTGGGGCACTGCCTATTTCAGCTGTGGCTGAAGGATTAAGAGAAATACACAGCTAGGCATTCAGGTCTTCATAATTTATGCTTGCTGATGTGAACAAAAGTACATGGGGGTAGGAGCGAGAGGGGGGAAGCCTTCTAAGAAAAGGGAACAGCACATTCCAAAGCTACAGATCCAAAAAGAGCTTGAGGAATCCAGGAGAGGGATGGGCTGAGGAGCTCACGGCCTTGAAGACCAGCTAAGAAACTTGGGACTATTTAATAATAAAAATGAAACAAAAGAGCCACCATTTGTTGAGGGTCTGCTCTTAATTATTTCCATCAAAACTACTCCAGCGAGGTAGATTTAATAAATACACCTGTACACAAAAAGAAACTGCCAGGAGCCATAGAAGAGGTATAGGCAGGGAGGTGGCTTGATCAGTTGTGATTTTAGAACCCTTGGACCAAGTGTTGAACTGGCAGGGGTGCTTTAAGAGACCTGCCTTGAATTCCATACATTAGAAGTAGTAATACCATTTTTCTTTTTTTTTTCATTCGCTTCACAATTTATATTCACTGTACAACATATGAAAAATACAAGAAAATTTAAAGAAATATAAAAAATTGTTAACTCCTCCTTTCAGAGACATCCCAATTGATATTTTCCTTCCAGTCTTTTTTTTTCCCCCCTTATGAAAAAATATGGAGTCATTAGAATGGCTCTTAGATATAAGATGGGGAAAAGCCACTGTTAAAACGCCCTTGATACTCCCTCTCTTCTCCGTTTTCCTAGGACCACGGCAAGAGGCCAAGCTGAATCCATCCCGAGTTTTCACGAAAAATCCCCCAGGACTTACCGCCTGGACCCTCGCTCGCCTCAGGCCGGTCTCTAGAGGGCGCTGCCGAAAGACCGCACGCGAAGGAACGCGACGCGAAACGCGCATAAATTTGGGCGCCGCCGCTGCCCGTCGCTGGCGTCCTCAAGATGGCGGCCCCGCAAGATGTCCACGTCCGTATCTGTAACCAAGAGATTGTCAAATTCGACCTGGAGGTGAAAGCGCTTATTCAGGTACTAATTCCCCAGACCCTGTCGGGCTCCAGCATCCCTAAACCCAGGCTCCTGTGGCCTCCTATGAACTCGGTGGTCTGCCTCCCGAGCTTTAACCACTTGGTCAAGTCTCTGAGGTCGTTGGTCCCGCCCCACGGCCGGCTACCTCGTTGTGGTGCCCCTTTGGTCCCGTCTCCTTGACCGTTGGCCCTGTTCCTCCCTTCACTTGCTGTTGTCTTGCCCTGTCCGGACAGTCCCATGTTCCCCGGCCCCTGACCAGGCTTCCCCTTTGTGGCCCTCATTGGCCGCCCCCTCACACTTCTCTGCGACGACCACCGCACAACATACCTGCCACCCTGGTAGGCCCCGCCTTCTGACACCAACTTCCCCACCATTTGGTGGCGTCCTGGGAGCCATTAGCCCCACCCCTTCCTGGCCAGCTGGTCAGGGTGTGGTGTCCCTTGGTACCAAAGGCTACCTGACACGGGAGGCACCCGATGAAATGAACTTTGTAAATGAGGAAATCGGGTAAAATGCGAAGGCCTGAATCAGAAGGCCTATGGTGGCAGGACTGCGACCGGACGGGGAAAGTCAGCCTAGAGAAGGGACTTAGGGAGTATCTACAACTTTGTTGAACAGATGGGGTAATTGCGATGCTTTGCCTTAAGCCATTTAAGGGCAGAAGGCAGCAGAGCAGTAACCAGTTGGCATAGGCAAGAGTTAGGAATGTAGAAATGGTTCCTAGAATTTAGCAGAAAGAAACTGGGAGTTTTAAACCTTGATTTTAGGCGTCATTTCCCTTTCCAACAAATGTTACCAAACATTAGATGTAGACTTAGCTTGCAACTAGCTGTGGCAAAAAGTGAAGGACAGTAGGACTCTACATGGAAACCAGACGCAGAATAAACGTTACAGTGGTGCCAGGGTGTGTGATTTAACAACTAAGCCAGGGAGTTAAGTGAGGAAACTTGAGGCAAACATGTAAACGTCTTCAACTTCACTTCTTCATACACATTGCAGAATTTCTGGGATGAGTCTAGAAAAATAAATTTAGGATTCATACAAATAAAATTGTCTTTTCACATAATCTAAGTTGCTTTAGTCCCCTTCTGTACTCTCTAATAAGACTCCTCTTATTAGATGTCTGTGTGGTGGGCAATGTGATGAGGAAACTGAAGCAGAGAGAACTCAAGTGACTTTTTGTTACACAGCCAAAAAGTTGCTACAGCCAGAATTTGAATCCACATACCCTGGGTCTAAGGCCTGCTCTAAAACTTGACGCCAGTAATTTTGAATGTCCAGAAACAAATTCTAAATCTACCCTTGAACATGGCTCTAAACAGTGTGATTTATAATAGATGGTTTGTAAAATCAGGTTGAAATTAACCTTGTCCTATGATGCCATGAATTGAGCATCCTGATTTTCAAGTTGGAAAGATCTAAAGTTTAAGTATCACCTTCGGATGTCCATTCTTTTTGGACATACAAGCTGCTTTAAGCCTTTTTATACTGACCGGGCGGCGTTTTGTTAAACTTTAGGAACTAATAAGTCAAGACAGTCGTGTTTCTTTTTATGCTTTTATATTACCTGCTCAAAATTAATTTAAAGAGATATGAAAGAAATGTAAATGATAATGTTTTTGCTTGTGTTGCAGAGGTAAGCACAAAGATCAGGATGAATTATAGTCAGTAGGCCAGCCTTAGTTGTGGTCTAAGCCAACTCTCACTGTACAGATGGTATCATTTCATTTTATTGCCTCGAGAAAGGCTCCCCTCACCTCTTCAATGTCTCCTAGGATATTCGAGATTGTTCAGGACCATTAAGTGCACTTACTGAACTAAATACTAAAGTAAAAGAGAAGTTTCAGCAATTGCGGCACAGAATACAGGTGAGTAGCTGCAGAGCTGAGATGTGGGGAGATTGGGGAACAATGAGGAGGCTCCATCCTGGCAGTAACCTCTGCTTGAGAGCTGTCTGGGTTCTTTAGTAAACATTTTGACAGTGCGAGTAACTGTACTACCGTGTTCTCCAGGTAAAAGTAAGGAACTCTTGAATGCATCGTCAGTGTTTCCTGGGGTTTTTTAATCCTGTGTTTTTCCTAGCCTCTTCCTTCCTGTTTCTAAGGTGTGCAGTCACTTCATATGCACATACAGCACTCCCGAATCCAGCTAAGGTATATGTGCTATCTCAAAAACCACTGGAGTGAGAAGTACCCATTTGCATAGCCTGTTTCTGCTGCTGTGCCCTAGTGAGAATAAGATGGGTGCATGGATCTGCCCATCCCTAAGTGGGCCTTGGGGCACCTGGTCTCACTGCTTGTGGTGCTGGGATTTAAAGACTTGTGATTTTCCTGTGACATGGCCCCAGATGCTCCTGACAACTTCCGTTGTTCAACAGAGGACAATCTGTTTCAAACCTGGACGAAAACCTGGCCATTCAGAAGTAGTATGTCTGGGTCTGGTGCGTTGCCTTCTTAAGGGATTTGCAAGGCAATTGTGAAAATAAGCAGTTTCTTTCATAAGAGTTTACTTAAGAATTTTAGCAATATCACTGAACCTAGCTGATCTTTTTGCCTTCACTCTAGCACTGATTTAATCATTTAGTTTTTATTTTTGAAAGGCTGTTATTTTCACATGTTTTATATATATGAATGTATGTGTGTAAATATGGGCACACAGTGAACCTTCAAATTGTTTGCTACTAGTCGATAACGAAATAGCTGCAGGGTTTGAGAGTGAGCATTTAGACATGTAGCAGTTTGGTATTTCCATGTTATCTCCAAGTGGGACCAGGGGGCTCCTATTTACTAACTTTTTATTCCCTTTTCATTCCAGGTGTGCCCTAGATTATAGGAGTGAATCTCTCATTCCAGGGCAGCTGTGCATAGCTCACAGGTTGAGCGCTCTGGTTCTTAGTTCCCTTCTCTCCCTGGGGTCCTGAGGATTATCCTTACTTTCTTGCAAGTCAGCCATATACTTATAAGGATGTTTGTTCTCTGTTACCTGGCATTCCTAAGTGTTCTCTCTTTATTTTTTTTTAAAGATTTTATTTATTTATTTGATAGACACACAGCGAGAGAGGGAATACAAGCAGTGGGAGTGGGAGAGGGAGAAACAGGCTTCCTGCCAAGCAGGAAGCCCGATGTGGGGCTCAATCCCAGGACTCTGGGATCATGACCTAAGCCAAAGGCAGACACTTAACAACTGAGCCACCCAGGCACCCCTCTAAGTGTTCTCTTTTTTAGAAGGGTTTTCAAGTGCTATTGTATAACCGCCTAGAAAGAGAAGTGCTCTTTGGTTTTTATATTGGGTTTTAAAATTATTTTAATATAGACCTCTTTTCCCCCAAAGGAGCTTGAGCAGTCAGCTAAAGAGCAAGACAAAGAGTCAGAGAAACAAGTTCTGCTCCAGGAAGTGGAGAATCACAAAAAGCAGATGCTCAGGTAGGTGGGGCCTGTGCTAGGTCACTGGCTCCCTGGGAGGCTTGTACAAGGGTTTGCCTAACAAACCTGGCTTAATGATTTAATTGTGTCATTTATACACAGACTGAGTGTCTTCTCTAGATCAATAGTTCTCAAAGCAGGGGCCAGCAGTGGTTGTTGGTAGGTCAAATTGTGTATAGTTTATAAAAGCATATTTACCATTATATTATATATATATATTTTAAGACAAAAGGTTGCTTTTGTGATACAGGGTCTTTTTTTAATTAATAATTTTTATTTACTTATAATACATTATTTGCCCCAGGGATACAGGTCTGTGAATAGTCAGGCTTGCACATTTCATAGCACTCACCGCAGGGTCTTTTTTCTTTAAGGGTAATTGCTACCAGAGAAAGTCCTGCTTAAGATGGACCAAAATTTAGAAAGTTTTAAATGGAACTTTATCTTAAAAAATAAAACACCCCAAAATATAAAATGTTATACTATGTTAAATGGTGGTTATTGTTGTAGCTGTGTGCTAACCTTTGTATAATTAAGGTATGTGCTATTTCTGGGTATTGAGTTGTGGGACTTTCCAACAAAATTGTCTGATAGCATGAAAGAGTACCCGTCCCTTCACATTTGACTTTTGTATCATAATCATAAGTGTTGTGGCAAAAATATTTGAGGGCTCCATCAGCTTTCCCAGTCCTCTGGTAGGCAAGTCGTTCTCTTTTGAAGCCCCTGCTAATCCTCCTCCTCCTGGGTGTTCCCTTCAAACTTGTTAATTGCTCTAACTCTGCCAGATCTGTATTTGTCTCTGGTTTTGCTTCTGATTTGAATAATTCTCCAGCATCATCCTTGCTGAGCAACAGCTGTGTTTAAGAAAGGTGTTTGCTTCCGTTGGCCACCAAGGATACTCAGATTATAAACACTAAGTCAGGAAGACCCCTTGTATAAAGTATAGTAAGTTACACCAGATAAGATGGGCTTCGCATGGGTTTAAAGCTGAGAATGGCCACTCACAATGTGGAGTTACAGGGGAGATAGAGAGACAGCAGTAAATGAATACTTAGGCAGTTGTGTGTGAAAACTGGTTGTGCTTGCCTGGGTTATCATGCTTATCACACTGTTCAGCAAATGTTTGTTTGCTTGTCCTTTTCCCCAGTAAATTGAGCCCCCTTGAAGGCAGCCACTGTGGTTTAACTCATTTCTGTGTCACAAGGCCCGGCAGAACCCCCTTGCTAACAGTTCAAAAATTGAATGGATTCTTTTTAAATATCAGGTGTAGAGTGGCATAGCATTGCTGTTCTGGTGGCAGAGATCTCATTTTAATGTTTTAAGCACAGAGGTGCTCTTAGAAAAACACCCTGCCAGTTCACATGCCCTGTGTTTGACTTTGTAAATATCTCAGGGGTTAGCACAGTTGATGTGAACCAGCTCCCCAAGAGCTCTAGTTCTTGAGTTTGATTCTCCGAGGGGCGCAGTTAATATTTTTATAGTCCCATCGACAAAGGCTGCACTGCTAACCCCAGGGAGCTGTTCACCAAATTTGAGTTGTCTCTCATAAGGGAAGTCAGGTAAAGAAAGAATAAATCCCATGAAACTGGGCTCTGCTTAATACCTTGTGTTTATCTTATTCGTGATTGTTCTGGGTGTCTAAAGACAAATCTTAAAAAAATACTGAGCAAGACCAAAGTGCTGAATCACTGTATTGCACACTTGAAACTAATATTCCACTGTATGTATCTAACTGGAATTTAAATAATTTAGGAGCGCCTGGTTGGCTCAGTCAGTTGAGCGCCCAACACCTGATTTTGGCTCAGGTCATGATCTCAGGGCGCTGGGATCAAGCCCTGTGTCAGGGCTCTGTGCTGAGCATGGAGCCTGCTTGAGATTTTCTCCCTCTCCCTTTGCCTCTCACCCTGCTCTCGCCCTCACACGTGCTCTTTCTCTCTCTCAAAAAAGAAAAAAAATTAAAACTTTAAAAAGAAAAGAAATATTGAGGAAAACTACTTTCCTATGATTTTCCTACTTCTCATAATACCTATTGATTGGCTAATGGGCCAGAAACTATTGTTCTGGGTAGGTACTGGTGATCCAGGGATGAGGAAGACATGGTTGTTTTTCATGGTTCTTCCATTTCTTAAAGAAGTGGAACCAACCAGTGCACAAGGCAGAGAGCAATAAAATGTTAGTGATAACTTGACAGAGCAGGGCCTCGTACCCCCAAGGCGAGTTTGAAGTCTGAAACCACTGCAGGCTGTCAGCACAGAAGTACCATGGCCAGACTGCTCCCTCTTGCTGCCCTGGAAGGAAAGGGATAGCTATAGACAGTAGGGCAGTAGGAGAACATCCCAGAGGCAGCCACCAGGGTCCAGACCAGAGATGTCGTTGCCTGAGCTGGAGCAGTTGCTGGGGCAACCAAGAGGGGGAAGTGGCCGGAGGTATGGACTCTCTGGTGTCCACTCCTGGGTGGCCTTCCCCCTCACTCCCTTGCCAGAAGGAAGAACTGCTGTGACTTGATCTGACAGAAACTCATGCAAGACCCTTCTGATTTCAGCAATCAGACCTCATGGAGAAAGGCTAATCTCACTTGCAAAATCGCTATCGACAATCTAGAGAAAGCACAACTTCTCCAGGGAGGAGACCTCTTAAGGCAAAGGTATCGGTCTTTCTGTCTTTCTGGGCCCTGATGAAAGAACAGATAGCAATCGGCAAGCTGCAAAACCTGCATAGGAAACCCCTTCTTGTTTTCAGTGTAAAACTGGCACTTTATTGTATAGGTAATTTTTTTTAAGTATGAAAGAAATACATGCTTACTTGTAATTAATTGGTAAAATAAAGAAAAATGGTAATGACAAACAAACCATACTGTCACTGTGTTGCACGCGTTTTGATATATTGCCTCCTCCCACCATTTTTTTTTTACAAAGTCAGAATCATACCGTATATAAAACATAGGGCCCTGCTCTTCTTCACATAGTATAGTAGCACAAAGATTTGCTTGTTATTTTAGAACTCTAAAACAAAGTTTAAGAGTACATAGTATTCCCCTGTGTTAGCTAATCCTGTTTGTGTCTGTTTACATTTCTGGTTTGTCAGTATTGTAAATAATACACAAGGCCACATCTTAGGACATAAGGCTTTGTCCACATTTTGGATTTTTCCATTGGAGAGTTTCCCAGAGATGAGATTATTGAGCCAAAGGCATAAATGTTTCTAAGGCTCCTAATACGTATTGCCAAATTGCTTTACAGAAGGTAGCAACAGATTGCATTCCTACTAGTAGTCTTCAGGGGTATGGTATCTGCATACCTTTGCGGGTGTTGACTGTGATCATTGATATTTAAATATGTTATTTTGATAGATAAAAAAAATGGGATCTCATTTGAAGATGGGTTTTCTTGCGGCCAGGGTTTTGTTGACATGCCTCCTCCCACTCTGGACTTATAGGAAAACCACCAAAGAGAGCCTGGCCCAGACGTCCAGTGCCATCACGGAGAGCCTCATGGGGATCAGCAGGATGATGTCCCAGCAGGTCCAGCAGAGCGAGGAAGCCATGCAGACGCTAGGTAAAGCGAGACCTGGAGTTAGAAGCTTCTCTCAAAGCCCTTGCTCTGACACCTGCCACCAGGCTCTTCCACCTTTGCCCCTTCTTCACAGCCTCATCTCCAAGCTTACTGACTTGTGTGGCTTCTCACTTCTTCAACAGTGTGGTGTTACCCAGAGTGGGGTGTGTTGCTCTTACTTCTCTTTTTGGTTTTGTAGTTGTCCTGGAAGATCTGCACAGCCCTGTCAAAATGTTTCCCCAGCAGAAGCACTCCCAGGGCCTCATGTGAAAAGCAGAATTCCCAGGCCTTCTCCTGGAGAGTGGGTGCCAACAGGGTTGGGGGAGGAGCCTGGCAGTCTGTTTTTTTCTCTTGAGTTCTGTGGACCATGTGACCAGACAGGTTGGGGAATCATTGCTTGAGGAGATGTTTAGTGTATTGGCTGCTAGTTGGTCTGCTAGGGCCTCAGCATGTGATATACTGTCCGGTGTTATATTTACTGTGAGCACCTTTTAAAAGATTCAGTGAGAGGCCACAAAAGAAGCCACTTGAGCACCTGGTTCTCTCCAGCAGCCTTCCCATGTTGTCTCCCTTATAGTGTAGAAGAGAATTGACCCTCTTCAGGGTCGTCTGTATAGGAAAACAGGAGAGAGTTTACTGTTTGAGACAGTTTAGGAAGATTTCACGAAGAGACAAAAGCAGAGAGCACAGTACGCAGTTGTTAGCTCCTGGCCAGTCTTGTTTCAGCCCCACCCTTCCTGGGCCTCCATCTGGATTATTTCGAAGCAAATCACAGACATCATCTATAAATATCTCAATGTATCTCTCTAAAAGATAAGAAACTCTTGAAACAAAAAACAAACAAAACCAAACCACAATACCATTATCACCCTTAAAAGGTATCTATAATTTTGAGCCACTTTTTTTTCAGTGCACTGCTCAAACAGCAGGAAGGAAAAGCAAAGCAAGCAACTTGTCCCCAGGGTCATTTACCTGGGCATTTAGGCTCAGTACCAGGTGATCACCTCTGCTACATGTATGCTGGGGGCGGGGCTCACGCCTTGGAAGAGGCCTGGAGAATCTGCAAAATAGGAGGCCACCTGGCCTTTGAGTGGAGGGCTTTTCTGCTTTGATGCAGGTGACAGGATCCTCCCCCGCCCCCACCTGCACACACACACACAGTTAATACACACATCAGAAACAGATGAGATAGTTAAGTGGTAAGAAGGGTGCACAGATGCTGAATGGCTACTGGGGTGCTGAGGGCTGTTCTTAGGGCCCATTTTGTAGGAGGGAAATCTATTGAAGAGAGAAGAATGCATTCTTAATCCTTTCCTTAGAGCTCACAAATTCAGCTTGATTTAAGAGCCTAATAGGACTACAGTTTTGTTTTGTTTTGTTTTCTTAAGCATATAAGGGATATAGTGTCTGGAATTTGCTGGAATTGGGTGGGGTAGTATGGGGACCAGAGTGCCAGGGAGTTGGTGGTTCTTGGTTATGGGTAATGGGCACAGGGCATTTCATGATACTGTTCTGTCTACTTTGGTGATGCTTTAAAATTCTCTATAATATGAAGTTGAAAAAGAAAGGCCTATGAGATTTTTTTGAGCTGACTCTTACTTAGGCTTTTTGGGATGGCAGTAGGCATGGAGAAAGGGCCAAGAGAGGGATTTTTTATCCGAGTGTGTGTTTATTTTTCCCCTTCATCTGTCTTTGTATAAATGCTGCTCTGTTTCCTCTGGTAATTTCTTTTACTTATTTATTGACTTTTAATTTTATGAAAGGTGATATGCATTACATGATTAAGAAAAAAGCCTCTAGGCCTGTATTGTCCAACAGAAATAGAATGTGAGCCATGTATTTAACTTTAAATTTTCCAGTAGGCACCTTAAAAAAGGTAAAAGAAACCTATGAATTTATTTAACCCATTACGTATAAGATATTACCATTTTAGTATGTAATTAATATCAAAATCTACTGAGATATTTTATCTTCCTTTTTCTCATACTGAGTCTTTGAAATCATGTGTGTACTTTGCACCTAGGGACATCTCAGCTTGGTTTAGCCACATAACACATGCTCATGTGCCACCTGTGTCTAGGGGCTGCGTTATTGGACTGCACAGCCCTGGACATAGCTCTCTCTTCTGACCCCTGGCCATCAAGTCTACTCCCCAAGGGCAACCACTGTTAACAGTTTCTTTTATATGCTCTGAGCTCCTCCAAGCATGTATAGCACAAGCAAATATTGTTTATCCCCCTCTTTCTTAACAAATGGAAATTTTCACATATGCTCTTTCATACCTCACTCTTCCACTTAACAACATATTTTTATTCTGTGGATGTTCTGATGATGTTACGTTTTTGGGAAGAATCTTACCAGGCAGACCTTCTTACCCAAGTGTCTGGCTCAAATACCCATACTCAGAAGTACATTTGTCTCCTAGGCACAGTGAGCCTTAAGGCACATGCACCTCTCCTTAGATTTCATACAGTGGCCTGAGCCTAAGTGTGACGTAGGCGTGACATCTTTAAAGCTACAGCAGTGTCCCAGCACTGAAGAACTGATAATGTGTGGGGCTGGTGGTAGGGACCAGCCCAACTCTTTTGGATTCCACCAAGAGCAGATCTGACTCTCAGGGGTCCTGGTAGGGTGCACCTCAGGTGGAAAGTCTTGGTAACTTCTAGCTTCTGACCCAAAAAGACTTAAGAGTGCCTGGCCACAGTCACCCAGGTTCATCTTGGGACCGGTGGTTCTTCTCACCAGCGCCTGCCTGCTTTGGAAAACTGAGATCAATGGTCAGGAAAGGAACTTTCTTCTTTTTTCCCTGGTGATGTTCACATTGAAAAATACCTAGTTGTGGCCCCGTGACATTGTATATAAACAAATCATGTCACTCTGAGCTGGATGGGACCTAGAGAGGTGCTTTCCTTATAATACCCTTGTTCATTGCTCCTCTGGATTGTTTCTGCGCACATCTTTGCTTGTGGCTGAGGGGAAAGTGCTACAGAGTGCAATGTTATTTGCTGGTAACCCAGCCAGCAGGGCAAAGTCTTTGGATTTGGTGCTCTACAGTCTCTGAGTCGGGCTCCCTCCCTCTTTTGTTTCAGCCAATTCTTCCCGGACTATCCTGGATGCAAATGAAGAGTTTAAGTCCATGTCAGGGACCATCCAGTTGGGACGGAAGCTTATCACAAAATATAATCGCCGAGAGCTGACGGACAAGCTTCTCATTTTCCTTGCCCTGGCCCTTTTCCTTGCTACGGTCCTTTATATTGTAAAAAAGCGGCTCTTTCCATTTTTGTAAGATCTGGAATTACCAGCTTTTGCCCATTAAGCTCCAGTGTCAGGATCTGTCCATGCTTCTGAGCTCAGCCCAGGCTGCCAAACCGGTGCACACCTCGTACACCTCTGCGGCCTGCTCAAAGTGCTCATCAGGTGGTTTGCGGACCCAGCCCCCCAGCTTTCTGCAGGCAGCCGGCTGGCCTGTGGAAGGTGAGTAGAGCAAGAGGAAGCCTGTTACCAGGACACCTGCAGGACACAGGGACTCCAGGAGCCATCACCCGGTGTGTGTGGCTGTCCCATGGGGCATGCAGAGGCCAGCCTTCAGGATTGGATCCTCCTCACTCTACTTCTCCTGCTATAGCCTTAATGCCAGATCTGGAAGGAAGAGAGAATTGGGGAGAAGAAGGATAAGGAAAACTCATGTCCATTCCTTGAATAAACTTGACTAGATTTAATAGAATGAAATGCATGTGGATTTATAAGGTATCCTTCTGGGAATGTGTATCCTGTTTTTGATGTCCAGATTTCTTTGACATAAACTTAGATCATTTATTTGTTCATTCAACAAAGGATTATTAAGCGATAGCCACATGCAATGTATTACAGACACTGCTGACTGTTACAAATACTTGGTAAAGCAGCTGTGGTTCCTCCCTCAGGGAGCAAGAAGAACAAGGTCTCGTATGCGCTAAAAAAGTAGGTTACAGAAAGCCCCCACAGGAGGTGGCTGACACCACATCTAAAAAGGCTCAGGCAGACATCCTTCTCTTTCTGTGTACCGTGGTGGGCCTGGCCTGGGGGTGTGCCATGTCTTGGGGGCTGGCGCATGTCTCTCTGAGGTCCAGAGCTAAATATAACCATGAGAGCAGGGCTAGTGATAAGCTGAGGCCTGTCTGGACCTGAGTTCTGTTGAGGCCTGGGGGATACTAGGGCTCAGGCTGGGAGATGTTAGTGTCTCCTTATGCTATAGGCCTGACTGGCCTCACTTATGAAATCCAGCCTCCCCACTATTTATAGCCCCAGAGGCCCTGGGAGGTGTAACGTAAAGGCAGAGGGGAAAGTGGAAAGAACATGGACTTTGAACCTTGGTTTTGAGTCTCGGCTCTACTATAAGGGACTATGTGACCACAGGCAAGTTACCTTGTGTCACTAAGCCTCAGTTTCCCCACGTGTAAAGTGGGGGTGCTAGTCCATGTAGACATTTGTAGAGTCAAAATGAGAATCAGACAAGAATGTAAAGTAACAAATGCAGCTTCTGTCTGACTGGACAGTGGGCTTCCCGAATGGGGCCACCTCCAGGACTCTGGGCCCTGAGGTTTCCTGCAGCAAACGGGCTTCAGTGAAAGCTGGCCTGGGCATCGGAGGTTCTGTTTAGATCTGCTTGAGCAGAGGGAGGGTGTGAACAGTTACGGCTTCAGTTACGAAGTGCCAGATTGTCACAGGACCAAGTATGTAAGAGATTGGCTGCACACCTCAGACTAGTTAATGAGCACGTTCTAGGTTAAGTGTGTGTGTGTGTTTGTGTGTGTACATGGTACAGATACACACTTCTCTATATATATCATTCTTAAACAATTTCTGGCCTCAGAAGACACTCAGTGCAAAATGTACACGCATGTGTCTTATTTATAGTCAAATTAAAGCTGAGAATAAAGCACAGATGGGAAATTCCCACTCAGATTCCAGCTGTAAGTGCAGCAGATGGATGTTATCAATTTAGGATTTTCTTGTCTTAACATTTTTCTTTACTACTTCCCACTAATTGTCAACATCCTCCTTACAATATGGGAATGTGTGGGCTCTGTACTCCTTAAAAAAATCTCCCTTTGACTTTATTCTTCTTTAACTTACTTCCTTCTCCAAATAGGTTGAATTTGAAATGTCATCAGTAGCATTATGTCTTGCAACCCCAATCACCCAGCCACGGGGATTCAAAATCATCCCCAAGTGAGTGGGCTGGCTGGGCAGAAAGCAGCCATTGCCATGTTCAACCGTGAGGGGGCAGTGTTCACATTTGCTCTGTGGTCTTGCTGTGTTTAGGACTCCCCATCAGTCGACGTGGAATATTCATTTTTTTTTAACATTTTTTTATTTTATTTTATTTTTTTAAAGATTTTATTTATTTATTTGACAGAGATCACAAGTAGACAGAGAGGCAGGCAGAGACAGAGAGAGAGAGGGAAGCAGGCTCCCTGCTGAGCAGAGAGCCCGATGCGGGGCTCGATCCCAGGACCCTGAGATCATGACCGGAGCTGAAGGCAGCGGCTTAACCCACTCAGCCACCCAGGCGCCCCTTTTTTAACATTTTTTAAAAAGATTTATTTATTTGACAGACATCACAAGTAGGCAGAGAGGCAGAGAGAGAGAGAGGAGGAAGCAGGCTCCCCGCTGAGCAGAGAGCCCGATGTGGGGCTTGATCCCAGGACCCAGGGATCATGACCTGAGCTGAAGGCAGAGGTTTTAACCCACTGAGCCACCCAGGTGCCCCTACGTGGAATATTCTTACGGATTTTTTTTTTCCAGATACCAGACTTTGAAAAAAAAACAAAAAACAAAACACCATACAAATGTACAAAGTTTACCTATATAGCTTTTGGGAGATGTTTCATAAATGATTTTAATTTTCACTGTTAACAGGCAAACTTATATTCCACATTTTGCTAAGACGACAGTCGAAGAGTTAAAAGGACAGAGCAGCTGTCAAGAGGTTGTTCATTCAAGTATTTACTGAGAACCTACTTTGTATCAGGTACTGTGCTAGTGCACTCAGTGAACAAAGAAAGATTCCCTGTCCGTCATGGAACGTACAGTATGTGGGGGAGGACAGGCAGCTGATAAACAATTACGATACTAAGTCATTCATTCTGTTAGAAAACAAGTGTTTTAGGGAAAAGTGAATCCGGCTAATGGAGACCTAGAATGTAGGTGTGGGGATAGTATGCAGTATTAAGGGGGATGGTCAAAGAGGGCGGCCTCATTGAGGTAAGATCTGAGCAAAGGCTTATTGAGGAGGGAGATGCCTTAGCCATGTGGACTGCTCAGGGAGGAGGGGTCCACACAGGGGCCAGCTGTAACTAGTGCAGAGGCCTACATTGGGAGCATCTGTGACACTGATTTACCATCAGAAATCTATATTTGGTGTCCCCAGTCCTGGCACAGAGCTGCTAAATCCCTTGGGCTTTCCTACAATGAGAGTGATAAAGGTTTCTTTTGTTGTCTTCATGAGGCAACTTTTGGAAAGCACTAAGGATGGGGCTAGTTGCCACTGGGCCTCAGAGGAGGGGAGAGGGGCTAGAGATGGAGTCCAGTCACCGATGGCCAGTGATTTAATCAGTCATGCCTGTAATGTAATGAAGCCTCCACAAAACCCAAAAGGACTGGGTTCAGAGATCTTCCAGGTTGGTGAGGACGTGGAGATTGAGGGAAGATGGCGCACTTGGATAGGGCATGGAAGCTCTGCATCCTTTCTTCATGCCTTGTCCTGGTATCTCTTCCATCTGGCTGCTCCTCAGTTACAGCCTCTTGTAATAAACTGGTAATCTAGTCAGTAAAATGTTTCCTTCATTTCTTTGAACATCTCCAGCAAATTAATTAAACCGAAGAGGAGGTGCTCATGGGAACCTCTTATCTGTGGCCTGTTGGTCAGAAGCCTCCGTGACAACCTAGACTTGAGATGGGCAGCTGAAGTGTGGGTGGGAGGGCCACAGTTTTGTGGCACTGAGCCGTTAACCTGTGGGATCTGATGACCAGGTAGGTAGTGTCCAAATTGAGTTGAATTATAGGACTAGAATTCCAGCTAGAATTGCTTATTGGTGTGGGGGAAAAAACCCATACATCAGAAATGTTTCCATGCATGTACTGGAGCATGCCTGTGGGGGAACAGCAAGGAAGCTCGTGTGGCTAGAGCAGAGTGTGAGGAGTGGTAGAGAAGTGACACAGGACATCAGCCAGAGTGGGGAACAAAATCATGAAAAGCCTTGTAGGTCATTGGAATGATTGAGCTTGTACTTTGAGGGACATGGGGAGCCACTTGGGGCAGAGGAGTGACTTGATATGACCTATGTGTAGATAAGAAAGTGAATGAGACGAGTGCAGAGCAGGGTGGCCAATTGGAAGGACCATTGCACATGTCCAGGTGACAGATTGATGGTGGCTTGTATGTGGCTGAGCAGTAGAAGTGGTGAAAAGTAGTCATATTCTGTATATATTTTGAAGACAGAACCAATGGGATAACATTTCTTGAAGAAATGGTATCATTCTTGAAGGAATGAGAGCTAAAACTATGACATTCATTTTTTTTTAAATGTCCCTTTAATCTGTATGCCCAACCTGGGGCTTGAATTTACAATCCTGAGACAAGAGTCTCATGCTCTACCAAGTGAGCCAGCCAAGCGCTCCAAAACTATGAAATTCTTGGCCTAAGTAAGTAAAGGAGGAAGAGATCTGGAGTTGGGTTTTGGACATGTTGGGCTCGAGATGTCTGTTAGACCTCCTAGTCAAGATGCCAGGTACACATGTAGTTATGTGTGAGTCTAGGGTTTGGGAGAGCAGTCAGGGCTCATGGTATAAATGTGGAAGAAGACACATAGATGAGATTTATAGCCATGAGGTTGGAAGAGATTGCCCAGAGATTTGAGTGTAGATAAAGAAGAAATAATGACCCAAAAAAGAGGAAACAGCACATGAGAACGAGGAGGAATGCCCAGAGACAGAGGAGCCACTCTTACCAGTTAGACTTCTTAGGGAGTCTGTTCTTTTTTTTTTTTTTTTTTTTTTTAAAGATTTTATTTCTTTGACAGAGATCACAAGTAGACAGGCAGGCAGAGAGAGAGGGAGGGAAGCAGGCTCCCCGCTGAGCAGAGAGCCTGATGCGGGGCTCGATCCCAGGACCCTGAGATCATGACCTGAGCCGAAGGCAGCGGCCTAACCCACTGAGCCACCCAGGCGCCCCGGGAGTCTGTTCTTTTAATCCCCAAAACAGGAGACTTTCTGTTCTGCAAGAATCTGTTTTTCATCGTCGTCTTCATCCATCCTTGTCATTATCAGTGTCATCGTCAAAAGCATCTCGTGCTTGTTGAGCTCCCTCTGTGTGTTAATTACCTGAGGACTGCACCTAACTATAGCCGCCCCCCCTGCCTTTAAGGACGACACAGAATGACCGTGGTTGCTGTGCACTGGCTGCCACAGGGGATCTGTGGAGGGAGGGAACAATCTTCTGCGATGGGACAGGGACGATGATGCCTTCCCCCCAGAGCCACTGCTCTGTCTTCTCCCCTTTACTGCTCAACTTATACGACACCGTCGGTCTCCTCACCTCCCACTTCCCCGTCCACCTCAGTCTGATTTCTCCTACAGTCACTCTCCCTGAAACAAGCCTCCCTGGGGTCATCAGTTACCTCCAGGCTGTTCTTCTGAAGGATGTCTGCCCCCACCTACCTCATCCTTAGCATTTGTGGACCATGGTGGGCATTCGTTCTTCCCAGAAACCTCCTGCTTCTGCCATACCACCCTCTCGGTTTTCCTCTTGTTCTCTGGCAACTCCTCCTCACTCTTCTTTCTTCACCTTCTCTTCAGCCTTAAGTGCTGGCTTATTAGAGCTGCTTCCCTCTTCTTCTATGTATTCCCTCACAGGCAAGGTCATTGTTATCCCCCCCCAGTTTCACAATCATCTAGAGAATCGCTGTCAATAATTTCAAAGTTCTGTCTCCATGACTGACTCTCAGGTGAGCTCCAGTTCTCTCTCATCTCCACCTTCTATCATCTCCACTCAGATGTCTCTGTCTCTGAGACTCCTCCACTTCAGGAGGGACCTCTCCCTTATAGGCACTGGCCTGGCTCTTCTCCGGCTTCCCTGTCTTCCCTGACACACCTCCCATTTCCCCTCCCAGGGCTTCCTTTTCCCTTCACCAAGCCGTCTGCTTCACACCTCTTGCCACTTGCCCAAGAGATGAGACTTCATTCAACAATTCAATATTGTTCTGAAGGAAGACAGATACAATGCGTTAGTGAATTCAGGAGGGCAGAAGGCTCCGCTGGAGGCAGTTTGGCAGGGTGACCCAATTTGATATTTTTCTAAAGAAAAAAAAAAAAAGATAGTAAAATGTAAAAGAAGCTTCCTTTTCTTCCTTGACTAATGGTGGTCTCCCCTGGGGGCCCTGCCTTGAGTTTGCCCAAGCTGTGTTTCTTCCCTAAACAAGGGCAGAATAAAAATAGCTGGGGGCTAATCTAAGAGATACCAGCCTGGAGTCTCAGCAGTTGTCAGGAATGAAGGGCTGCAGGCTGGGGTGAGGAGAAGGGTGGCTCTTATCTACCCTCCCAGCTGCCCCCCCCAACCCCAGTCCCCAACAGCAGAGCCCCAGGGCCCCTGGTATTGGTCAACTTGGATTCTCAATGGCTTTACTGTACACAGGGTCCCATATCTGCCCTTTGGTTAGAGAGGGGACTGGGTTCTAATTGTAGTCTTCCTGGCCATATGCCCCTGGGCAGGGATCATCCCTCCGTTGTTTCCTCATCTGGAACACAGGGATACCCAACAGCATTGACCTCTTAGGAGTGCTGAGAGATTAAAGGACAAAAGTCACCCAAGAACCCACAGTGGAGCTCACACAGTCACCCCGATGGCCATTGCATTCATTCCCAAAAAAACGTGGAATGACCTCATTCCCCTTTCTCTTTGGAGCTTCATTTTGTGGGAAGTGGTGGTGAGGTGAAGAGGGTGCTGGAGTTAGCAGGGAATCAGGCCCAAGGATGGAGCAGAGTTTCTCAGATGGCAGAGAGCTGAATGGGACAAAGCAGGTGGTGGCAAATTGGCCATCTTTCTCAAAACATTAAAAAAAAAAAATCAACGGGAAGAATTAGCTCAATGTAAAATGTTCTGTTTATTATTATTAAATCTTTGCTCTCCTCTCTCTCCTCCCCCGCCCCCTGCAATCTTGTTCACTGGCAAAGAATGCTCCTGGGTGAAATGAATCTATAAAGTAGCAAATGAATATGGACTGGAAAATGAAGAAATGGTCAATCAATTTTAATCTGACAGCTTGATTGGTAGGAATAACAGGG